TTCACTCAACAACTACATAATCAAGGCAATTTAAGCTCTTACAACTCAACAATCCATATTAAGGAATCTAGTATAGCTTTCCTTACCTCAATCTCTAAGCAACTAGAATCGAAAGAGAGGAAGGAGAAGGAAGAATCACTCTGAACCCAAAGAAGATGAGCTTTGCACAAGTCTCAACCCCTTTCAACTTCAAATCCAACACCCTCGACTACAAATCTCACACTCTAGAGGGGCCTAGAAGAAAGAAGGGTAGAAGAATCAGAGTTTATTTCTTTAGATCACTTTCTCTCTAAGGTCTCTAAGAATCATGAGCTTATGAAGCTCAATTCAAAATAGAACTTTGTATACATTCCCTTCTTAAGGTCAACTGGATCCTTAGCCAAAGATCCTCACACATACCCAACTTACCCTAAACCCTAAACAGTGTTATAATAAAATTCTAAATTTGTCAAGACAAATTTTAGTTGAAATGTTTAATTTCAAATTTTCGTAATGGTTTCCAAAAATCATAAATATCAGCTATATTATTTCTAAATACAACACAAATTTGCCTTCAAAATAGACTAATACAACTTGAACTTGTAATTTGTAAATATTAGATCGTTTTTTTTTTAATTTTGTTGTCTATAAATATGATTCATGTAGTATTTCAAAGTTATAAAGAATTAATGTAATTAAGTAGACATGACTTTCATTAGTCAAACATTACTTTAATATATTTAAAAGAATCAATTCTAAGACACCAAATAAAACCTATATACCAAGAGTTAATTATATCTCAAAACTAGAATTTTTTATTCATAAAAATAGAATTCAATATAAAAAGGGTTATAATAATTCACACAAACAAGAGTCCTTACTCAAAATTATAATTTTAAATGCACTTCTTCAAAACACATAAATAAGTAAGTCGAAAAATTATAATTGAATATTGTATCATAATTATGTTATTTAAATAATTTGTTTAAATTTATTAAAATATAATTAATAGAAATATTTTAAATATTTGTTAAAAAATAATGCAATCAATAATTTTAATAAAAAATTATTAATTGCATTTTTTTAATAATAAAATAGTGTATGTTTAGAAAAAGAAAACATTATGACGCATGCACATGCGTCATTTTAGCTAAAAGTTCGCCCATATATCATTTTAAGAAGAATTGAATCTCTATAATGAAAATGAATGAATGATGCTATTTACGGAGCAGAAAATAAGATGAAGTTATTAATGAGTTTGGAGTAGCAAACAAACATTTGAATTTCTACTAAAAAAATGTTCCATTAATCTCAAGTAATTATTTTAAGACACCCTTGGTTCCACGATAACTCAGTTTTGATATTTAAAAACGTTACGATACTCTCACTTTACGTTAAGATGGAGTAATAATAATAATAATTATTATTATTAACTAAAATTTATTAAAAATTATAAATTTTAGTAGAACCACTTATTTAACAAGTTGCTTTCTTGATTTAGTAGATAATTTTATTAAAATTTATGATTTTTAAGAAATTTTAATCAATATTAAAGAGAATTTATAAGTTTCTTTGACTAACTTATAAGTTAATTTGATCAAAATAAATTTGTTTTTGTAAGAGATCTTATTTTAGGAACTTATATAAGCTAATTGAAGTATCTTATAACTTTAAACTCTTAATTTTTTATTTTCATTAATTTATTTAAATTTTTTATTTTTAATTTAGAAGCCCATTTTGTGCCATTTCATTCTCTCACTTTTATTAAAAAAAAAATTATTTTGTCATTTTGCATAACATATCATAAGCTTTTAACTTTTCAACTCCTAATTTATAACTTATAAGTTTTCAGCTAGATTAGACTATGTTCGATAAGAGTTTTTAATCTCATTCTTAAACATAAGAACTGTTTTTTAAAATTTTATCATTGTGGCATATTGTGTTGATGACACGGTGGAAGAACCATTTTATACAAGAACCGGTCCTTTTTGTAACGACCCGACTGGTCACTACACACGGCACAGCACACTAGAAACACCGCACAGAAAAGAACAACTGTATACATATAGAGTCTAGAATATACATATACATGATCCAATCTGAACAGAGTTAAAGTGTACAAAAATTTCAATCAAAAGCTACTATCCCAAGTAGCTCAACAACAAAATAATCACAAAAGAGATCAGCTCCACCGGTCCGCTGTAGACTCACCACTAGACATCCACCTATCTCTGCTCTGTTCCCATACATAGTATGATCATTGCAGTCCAAACATCATGGAAACAACAAAGGGTAAGCTAGTGTAAAGAAATCGACATACATACATAAATATGTAAATAAAAGCATCTACAGCTATCAGCACACCCGTACAGCTTATACTACACCACAGCAAATTCAGCAATATCAGCACCGCTCAGTGGCTATAACAGCACCACAATAGTGGCTAACAGCACCGACATAGCGACTATAACAGCACCACAATAGTGGCTAACAGCACCGACATAGCGGCTATAACAGCACCACAATAATGGCTAACAACACCGACATAGCGGCTATAACAGCACCACAATAGTGGCTAAACACAGCATACAACTCAGCAATTAACAGTACAGCAAAACAGCTCACAGCATAGCACAACAAAATCAGCATACAACACAACTAAATAGTAATCAACAGAGCTTACTACTCACAACTCAGCTCATCATTCTAAAGCATAGCCATATTATAAATCAGCATTTAAAATCATCAATAACAGCCCAGCTCAGCATAGCGATATACATCTATTACAGCTTAACATCAATTTTTTAGCATTTACACCTAGTCAGCACAGCATATTTATCAACTACATCTCAGCTCAGCAATTACAGCATAATTCAGCAACTATCAGCATATCATTCAGCTCGACTCAAACAATAAGGTTCAGCATTAGCATCACACAGCACAACACAACTTTTCATCACACGACATTGGCAGCATTAATCAGCATAAAACCATAATATCAGCAAATTCAGCATATAACTTCACATCCTCATACGCGCCCGGCGCACTCATGGTCGCGCCCGGCGTGGCACAACCAGAGGGCTCCAGGGCCAGCGCGCCCGGCGCAAGCGTGCCTGCACCCGGCGAGACTTAGCCAGAGAGTCCAAAGAGCTCTCGCGCCTGGCGCAATACCCAATTGCGCCCAGTGTAGGCCAGGCAGAGACTCCAAGGAGTCTCACACGCCCGGCGTACCCCAACCCGCGCCCAGCACAGGCAAGGCAGAGACCTCCCTTGGTCTCGCGCCCAGCGCAAACCAAATTGCACCCAGCGCCCTCGAGGCAGAGACTCCCAAGGAGTCTCACGCCCAGCGCGACAAGGGCCGCGCTCAGCGCAGCACATCAATATCATCATTCAGCTCAATAACATTCATCATTAACAGCTTAAAACAACATGATCAACAACTTCACAACGCACAACATGTTCAACACATAATACGACCCAACCATCTTGTTTACAACTCATTTATCTTGTCAAAAACGCGCCCGGCGCAATTCTCAACCAGAGACCTACAGAGGTCTATTGCGCCCGGCGTGGTTCTCCCCACGCCCGGCTCGATTCACCCAGGGATTTCCCATTTCAAATCACGCCCGACGCGAAGAACTGCGCCCGGCGCAAATTCAAACTGGAACCTTTACCTACTTCGAAAATTTCATCAAAACCTGCGAAAAACACCAGGAAACCAACATGCAAACCATCCAAAAGCCAGCATTTTCATCAAGCATCAAGAAAAACACTTCATTTCCAACATGCAACCATCAACAACCAAGAAACCCTAAACCCTAAACCCGAAAACGAAAATTTTTCTTCAATCACAACCAAGAATCAACCTCTTCAACAACTATTGAGTTACTTGGACTCCATGACATCCAAAAACAGCGAAGAAAGCTAGCTTCCCTTACCTCGGTTCAACGGCTCCGAACTTCGGAAAGGAAAACGAAAGAGAGAACGAAAATGGCTTGAACGAATGAGAAAGGGGAAGGAAGAAATCCACACACCCCAGCTAGCACTCCAACTACTCAGCACCTAAGCTCACCCAAGAAGGAAGAATCAGCAAATGAGTAGGAAGAGTTTGAGGGAGAATGAGTGAATAAGAGAATGGAAAATGAAAAAAAATGAGTACAGGGGAAGAGGAGGAAAAAAAAAAAAGCGAGTCTCACACTTTTCAATGATTTTTTTTATTATTCTCACTTAAATAATATATATATA